ACCAGGCTGCTGTTGAGAGCATCCAAGTGACTCTAAGAAGACACAATCAGTAGACAGAGGATAGGGACAGATATAATAGGAATAGGTGACGGACACATGATAGATGATGATGATGATAGATAAATGGTAGACAGGTAAGTAGATGATAGATAGTAATGATGGATGGTTAGAGAGTCAGATGATACAAACGGATGGATTAACCTCTCTCTCTCTCTCTCTCTCTCTCTCTCTCGAGAGAGAGATGTATCTTCTATTATATATATATATAAAATAGAAGATATATATAAATATAGATATATTTACATACCTATCTTATATTTATATATATATAAAATAGAAGTAGGTATGTAAACAGTAAGTGAGCGGATGAGGTAGAAGAGTGTGAGGTACTGTGTATCTGCATCTTTCCCATCAGGAACAAGATTCCTGCCTCGGCACAGCAGAAGCACTTTCTAGTCTCACTTTTTTGTCTTATTCTTCTCCCCCGTCAAACTCAGAAGTCTCTTGATTAATACTAAATCTGCAGGTCTTATTAGCCTCTCTGATGATCTCCACTAACTGGAATGAAACCTTAAACTGGAAGGAAGGGATGCACTCACAGAAGCTCATCACTTCCAAGTTTCCTGTGTGTCCAGGGTCCATAAGTCTTTCTTCTAAGCCTTCTGTCAAGTACCAGAAATGCGGGGGGGGAGGGGGGAGACCACCAGGTATTAACGCATTATGGTGTGGATATGAGGTGTTCACCAAAGTTCTTCTCAATACAGGAATATTCAGAGGTAAGTGATTAGATTACTAGAGCTGTAAGCCAATCGGTCCATCTTGGTTTGAACCGACTGAGTGGTAAATCTAGGCAGGTGGGATGTGGTGGAGGAGTAGGTCATTCGGGGTGGGTCCTGGAAGGGCATATCTCCCCACCACCCTCCCCACCCTCTCTGCTTCTTGACCCCACCATGAGCTGGGCAGTTTTCCTCCTCTGGGCTGCCACATCTTGGACCCAGAGCAATGGAGTCAGCCATCTATGGACTGAGACCTCTGAAAATGTGAGCCCCAAATAAACTTTTCCTCCTAAGTTGTTCTAGTTGGGTATTTTGGTCATAGCAATGGAAAAGCAGACTAAATCAAAGCGTACAATTTGTTAGTCTTTTCGCCTAGAGATGTTCCTTTCTTAGACTCCAGAACCCAGGCTGCCCAAAAGCACAGTTACAGAACAGCTACCAGCTCAATACATGAACAAGTGCTGTGACCCGCATGGAAAGGGATTCCTCAGACTCCCTGCCTGAATTGAAATGATATGCACTCCCCCGGCACACACTCCTCCACTGTCACATGATGCAACAAATCTCATGATCCTACACAGGTACATAGTTTGTCCATCTTTGGGGGACCCTGACACCCTGGGCATGAGAGAAGAAGGATTTGGGATGGAAATGGATGGCAATGATCCCACTGATCCTGCAGGTTTGGTTTATGATAAACAGCATCGCTGACATCTATACCTAAGAGGTCCCACCCTCCATAAGCCTGGCCCCACACATCTCATTAAATGTTCCGGCACTTGAGGGATAAGTGCTCCAATTTGGGTCCACTTGGAGGAGATGCCTACAGCTGAATGGACGATCTACTGACTCTGTTCCCACCTTCTACCTCTTCTTGAGGCACCCACTCTAGAATGGAGGCCAGACATGGACTGACCTCTGGCTCCATCCAGACCCCACTCGAGTCTCACACACATGAAGTGAGTGGAGAGACCTTGGCCATCATTCTGCCAGGAGCTTCCTCCTCTCCAGCACATGGCCCTCTCAGATGGAGCTCGGACCTCACTTCACAGCCTGCATCCAACCTCTCCAGGGAGCACTCTGCATCGCCCCCACAGACGTTATCTAGTTCTAGCAGGCCATGCAGAGGGGAAGGGAAACAAGCCTCACTTTACAATTTCCGAAGAAACAAAAGTGTTTAAATTTCTAATACCATCAATGGCCCAGAAAAACAACATACTCTGACTTGGCTTCAATTACCTCATTTTCTTTAAACAAAATGGAATCTGAAGCTACACAGAGGTTCTGGTGCTGAAAGAAGAGCATTAGCATAAATATTGGCTTGGTGGAACTTTTCTTGCACTCACAGAACTGAAGCAAGTGCTTGCTTTTTTCTTTCTTTCTTCTTGCTGCTTGCATTTTCTAAACATCAGCAAAAAAACACTTTTGTCATCAGAAAACTTCTCTGGCCGGGCTTTTAAGTTTGGTTGCTGGCACCCATCAGAGAATTAACGAGGGGTAACTATTTTTTGATTTGAAAAAAATCATTTATTAAATTAAAATGGCCAGCCCCTACAGAGAAGCTGAGGCCAAAGTCCTGTTGTTTGTTAGCACAGCTAGCAGATAACAGAGCTCCTGTTAACAACTGGAATGTGCTACGCCAACCAGGCTTGCAGCCAACTTCGAAGAAACCCACCCATTCACTGTATTTTCCCCTTCTGTGCCCCTAACCTGTCACTCACAACCAACACAGGCAGACAGCATGGATCTGATAGCAGTCCATCCCCATGCCATATCATATTGAAGCAGAAATTTTTATGCCTAATTCTGGCTTCATTTCTTTTTGGATGGAGTTTCCTAACTGCAGGGTTCTTCATTCTGTACCAATGTATACAGTTAGGGTTAACCAGTCGTCCAACCATTTTGGTACACCCAGAGCAGTGCCGGATATGCTGCCCTTGCCCACAATCACCATTCTCTCTCTCTTTTTTTTTTTTTGGTGGTGGTGGTGAAACAGCTAGGTACTGGGGATTGAACTCAGGGGTACCCACCACTGAGCCACATCCCCAGCCCTAGTTTGTATTTTATTTAGAGACAGGGTCTCGCTGAGTTGCTTAGTGCCTCACTGTTGCTGAGGCTGGCTTTGAACTTGTGATCCTCCTGCCTTAGCCTCCCAAGACAGAAAAACTGAGGCCAAAGTCCTGTTGTTTGTTAGCACAGCTAACTGGAATTACAGGCGCCACTGTACCTGGCCACCATTTTTCTTTAGCTATGAACCTATTATCTATGGAGTCCACTTGCTACTCAGAATGAGCACAATCCACAATGCCTCGCTGTATTAAAATGAAAGTAGCTCCAACCTACTGCTGAGTAAGTGTGGCCTAAAGGCCACATACAATGGCCAGGGCTGCACAAGATTCTCAGTGTAGATGTGGGCACTGCCTGTGTCGGCCCTTGGCGTTCCATTCAACCATGGTGCTGAAAGTGTCCTTCCTGTTGTTCTGTTCCTTCATCCCCCAGACCCTCGACGCTCGAGCCTTCCCTACATCTGCAGCAGGTTACCATGTCACTTTCCCACTCACTGGATGTGACCCCAATGCTATCTCAGCGTCTACGCCAGCCCTTGCCACGGCACGGGGACACACCGGTCACGTTCCATTCATCTGCTCATCTTTCCCCTTGGCTGGAAGCTCACTCAGGGATGGGACCACCAGTCAAATATTATCTGTGCAAAATGCTCCCACAGAAATAACCACAATAGCCTAATAGTTCCATTTCTTACAGGTTTCCTTTAAACCACAGCCCCCACATTCTCCCTGAAACAGACATGTCTTCCAAATATATGGAAGTTTTTAACTACTAAGACCACCAATGGCCTCTGACCGTTTCTCTTTTAAGAAAATGACACTTGAAACCACAGAGACGTTCTTGGGCTAAGGGAGATGCTTCAGCATAGGGTCACGCTCAGGGGTCCCTGTCACCCAGAGCTTCAAGCCCATGTTGCCTAGAATGCTTTAGAAGGCCTCTCGCAGTGGGCCTCCTCTGATCTGCTCGGGCCTCACACTGAAGCACGGGGCTGGCCAGACTCCCCTGTTTTTCTCTTCAAATGTAACATACACTTTTGTATCTGTTACTTATCATCAGAGTTAAGTCCCTATCCTCCAGCCATACCTGACCTTCTTTTGCCAAAAGGTCACCCATGTGACCTTGCCTTTGCTGCACAATGAAAACTATACGTTCTCTGTCCAAGCCAGATTTAATGTCACCTGTCATATTTTTGTCACTTCCTCCCCACTCTGCTCCCATCTCTCTCCAAAAATCCCTTCCAGATGGCATGGCTTTGCTTCACATCATCTCTTAGTAATAACATGAAACCCAGAGAGAGACCAAAGGGGGGTCTGTTGTTGAACCAGCAGCTCAGACAGCACCTGGCTCCTCAAAGTTGCTTAACAAACAACTGTCCCATAGATAAATGGACTGCTGCGGCCACAAAATTTAAGCAAAACAAAAAAACATTCATCTGGGTGTAGTAACAATAAAGGGAGCCAATCTGACATCCTCTTTCTCAAGAGAAAGCACCAATATGCAGGAATACAGAGCAGAGCAGACTTGCAAGAAGAGTCTAGAAAATGTCTGGGATTCCTAAAGCACCACAGTGAGAAGACCTCTGACATCCTCAGGATCTGCCTCTATTTGCAGGTCACCTCCCAAGGTCAGGAGAGAAATGGGAAGCCCCTTCCCAGTGACGTGTGGCCCCAGTTTTGCTGGACAAAGCCATGGCACAAATGTCACTCATGTACCCAGAGACCAGTTAAAGTGCCGTGGAAGAAAGGGATAAAAAAGATCCCCATAAGCCCTGGGAGGACCTGGCTGAGGAGCAATGTGCTCTCTGCTTCCTCCTGAGGTCCTCTGTGCCTTTCCAAGCTGGGTCCTCCTTGAGAAGCCCCGGCTTCTCGGCTGAAGCCCTCACTTTACTCCTTGTCCTGTCTTCCCAAAGCACTTTTACTTAAACCTAGTGCCGCATGTCCCCAAATGTCATGGGAAGAAAGGCAGTCTGCCAGGCTGTGCACCTTTCATGGGCAGGAACGTCATTTGTCTCTAGCTGTCAGGCCTCACTATGAAAGCCAGGAGGTGCTGGATCAATGCGAACTGAACTGACTCAAATGTCCAGTGCCTCCTCACACCGCGCCTGGGGCCCACAGGTCCTGTACACATGAGCTGACCGAGATGGTGCCTGTGTTTTACCTCTTTAAGAACCAGCACACATTTGCCGGGCCCCACCGACTGAGGTAGCTCCGCGATCCTGCCTTTGTTCAGGTAGGGGCCTGAGAAACACCGGTGGTTGATGAACAGCTGCGGGCAGCAGTACTTCCCATTGACGGTTCCTGCAGGGGAGACAACACAGCAGAGGCTTTGGATCTCATCTCTGGGACTTGGGGGACAAGGAGGCACATGCTTGATCTGCTAGTCAGCAGAGTCACCTGGAGTTGCTGTCCAGGGTCTTGACTGATGGGACTCCAGAGTTATAAAAAAGGGGGACTGTGAAGAATCAGGACCCCAGGGCCAACACTGTTGGAATCCTAATTAGGGAGCCTCACTCTGTTCCAAATTGTGACACAGTGGAGAAAGACAGATGATTTTCTTCTTTGGAGAAAGGGGCAAGGTATCCTAACATCAGGACGTTTTATAATCATAATGATACCTTAAAAGTTACAATGATTTTTTCCACCATACACACAAACTTCACTATTGATTGGGCAGCATTCAAGACAGAGATACAAAGACTACAACAATGTCAACCCAGGCATCACGCAGCTCAAGCAGAAACACATGTCCCTCACTCTGGCTTCAATCTGCCCTGTCCTTAGTCTTCCAACTTCAACAGTGATCAGGGCACACTGTTGGTCTTACTCTATCTAAAGATGCCATAGTAAAAAGTAGAGTGATTAAATAATAAGCTCTCACTCTAATGTTTCTTGATGTTTATAAACAGAATGAGGTTCTACTTTTGGCTAAGAGACTCCCTCTCACTCCAGCTCCTGCCCCAAGCTAAGCTACACCATTAGTGGTATTTCTGGACAAGTACTGCTATTAATTTGGGGTGGCAATGTAACAGGAAGGCCTGTTTTCATAAGACTCAATGGGTAGGAGGTAGAAATGCTATTCTTCTGGATATAAGAGGAAAGGAGTGAAATTACCATTGTAGACTATGAAAGCGTAGCTGGTATGGTTCCTTTAAAATCATTCTGAATTTTGAATTCAATACCACAGGCAAAATCAAATTCACAGGTGCATTTATACATAAATTTTTGGTAGAATTATGCTGTCCAATCCTTAGGAAAAAACATTTTTAGTTAAGTCTACTCATAAAAACTGTTCTGTTTACAAAGATAAGTTCAACTAACAGGACTCTTCCGAGGCATATAGCTTTTAATCCAGAAATTCAGAGTGGATTTCATTTTAGCATAGAAAACAAAATTCTTAATCAAATATGCAAAAACATGTCTCCTGTCAAATAGTAGCTCACAGAAGACCTCAGAACCAGCTATTCAAACTCAGGGTTTTAACAAAGAATTCAAAAGCCAGTGGGGACTTAAGGAATAATCACTAAGGTGAAAATTCAAGTGATACTGTGACAAAATGTCAAAAAAGGAGTGCCTAACGATGATATTTTCATCTCTTTCCTGTCCTGCATGGACATCCATATACTACACAGTACTAAGCTGGCTCCTAATTCCAACTGGCATGTGGATCCTTTTCTGCAGATTGGGAGACCTCTCTAGGGCTATTGGCCAAGAAACAGAAGAGAAGAGGGAAAGCTACATTAGTTTAGAAAATTTAAAAAGGCAGCTACCTGTTAATGAGTTGTACTAGACAAAGGAGAATAGACTGAAAGTTGAGAGATACTCATGGAGACCTAAAAATACACGCATGTCTCCATTCGCAGCTACAAACTAGAAGGGACAGAAAGCCCTTGAGGGGACCCAATTACCTGTGGAGTCCAGGTGAGGGAATAAGCAAAGGTCATGAGGTATTTTCTCAACAGGCACTGTGGATGGCGATCTGTGGATAAAAAGAGCAAACTACCATGGGTCACAAGCTTTTGAAGAAACAAGTACATTCTGAAGTTTTTTCAGAATATAAAGTGAATATTCCAGAAATCTAAGACAAGAGCATCATAAGATAGGATGCGTACGTAAGAGTGTTCCGGAAAGACCAGATAAAAAGACCCTTTCAGAAAAGTTACTCTCAAATCCTTCTTATGACCAGAAAAAAGCAGAAGGCACATCTGCCTCTGAGTGGCCGTCACTAACCATGAGTTTCTTCTGGGTTGCTGCTGGGCATGTCTCTTGTCATAGAACTGTCATAACAGCTTCAATTTTATATTAGACAAGAGGAAAAATACACTTACATTTAATTAAAGTCAGACATTTCCTCTGTGATGACTAATTGAAAACCACTTTCTACTAACTTGAGTTTCTGATTTCCGTGAATTATGGCCACACTAAAAAGAAGAACTTAGAAAAACCCTATAAATGGATGATTCCTAAAATGTGAAACAGGCTTACTCTAACAGAGCTCTGTTATAGTTCAGTTTGTTTGTTTGTTTATGTACTTATTTTGCAGTCCTGGGGATTGAATCCAGGGGCCCTGAACCACTGAGCCACATTCCCAGCCCTTTTTACTTTGTGTTTTGAGATAGGTTCTTGGTAAAAGTTGTCCAGACTGGCCTTGAACTTGAGATTCTGCTGCCTCAGCTTCCTGAGTTGCTGGGATTACAGGCATGAGCCAACATGCCAGGCTGACAGCTCAGTTTAAAAGATGTCAAATAAATATATTTTTGAAACATCGCCTTTGGGGGAAAGAACTGAGACAGGTTTCACAGGGACCCTCAGGCTGGCCGCATGGAAACCACACAGTTGAAAAGCTTCATATAATCAAAGAGGACATCACAATCAATCATAGAGTCATCTACAGAAATGGTTCTCAAAGTGTGGTCCCCAAGCCCACAGTGTTGGCATCACCCTGGAACTTGTCAGAAATGCAGAACCTCAGGCTACCCTAGACATCATGAATCAGAAATACTGGGGCTGGGACGTAGCAACCTGTGTTTTCCCAAACTCTCCACATGACTGCCACACGTAAAGAGTGAGAACCATTCATCCATAGACTGCAAATTTGGATTCAATTGTGGGTCTATCTATTATTAATCTCTTTACTTCATGTTAGGTGAATAAAATGGAGTCAGGTTATGAACCTGATACACTATGTTTTAGAAATAAATGCATAAAAAAATATCTACAAAACTGTTATTCAAATAACAATGCTGCTCTTGCTCAGTTTCACTGCATTTAAATTTAAACCTAAGTGTGTGAGAAACGCTGGTTGTAGTTAACTTTCTATCCATATATTTTTATTGATCTAAGAAAACACAATTACTTGCAATGGAATGGACATTTTGTTGTATTTTAAGTATTTCACAATATATATAATGGTCAGCAGCCAGTTACAACTTTTCAGAGACATACTGCTGCACATCCACTCTCACCCAAACCCTCTTTCCTCCTAATAGTACAAGTGAATTGGGGTGAAGGGCAACCCACCTTTGTTCAATAATTCAAAGAACATAATCTTTTTTTCACATGGGAGTCTGATTTAATCTTCACAAAACCCTGAGAAATAGGTATTTACAAGGGGGGGCTACTGAGATATGAAGAACTAAAGCAGCTGGCTCATGTGCACCCAGTGGGGAAGCAGCAGAGTTGGGGTGACACTGAGTCCGTCCTTTGTCTCCAGTCCTGGTCATGGCTGGAGAGGTGGGGAGGAAGCTCCAGTTCAGGGAGAGGAGCTGTGCTTCCAAACTACACTGTCACACAGGTCCCTGAGGGTACCCAGAGTCGGTAAGTAGGTTTGGGATAATTTTCGGGTATGCTGAGGTGAAACAGAAAGTGAGCAATGACAATCTGGACCACAAGTTCCTCTGGGAGCTGACACTGCATTTTGCACATAGTAGGTGCACAATAAGTAATAGCAGCTACACTTTGACTGTCACTTTTACTCCATACCACTCTTAGCTACTCTCTAAGAACAAGACAAACTTCCTATCCTCTACAAAGAAACTTTACAATTTATCATACAGATTTGGAGAAAAATGAAAAAAAAATCAACATACTGTTTTTCTGGCTGCACAACTGCAATCTTTCTCTTCTTTTGGGCTATAAACAGACAAAATATAGGAAGAGAAAAAGAAAATCACATTGTTAGTGGGACAGATGCATTTTTAAAAAACGACAGTGTAAAGACATGCCCATTTTAAAGTAGCACTTTAAATACTGATGAGTTACTGTAGTCAAGCCACAATTTTATATTAATTTCTTCTAGCATAAAACAGAGAGTCATCAGACAAGAGATCTTAATAGAATCCGGTGCATTTAATCTTATCACTACGCTGGCTACTTTATTTTGAAAGGTGCTTTTAATAAGAAAGAAAAAAAGAGTACATCAGTGTACATGTGAAGATAAACTGTTGCAAGCATGATGATCCAGAATGATTTCTCCCTCAGAAGCTATGATAGGCAAATAATGCTACACTGACAGTGTCCCCCAGATGAGTCCCAGAAGCCTGCATTTGAACTAGAATATTGAATTACTGGAAGAAGAAGCAGTGGTTAGCAAATACATCTAGTCAAATATTGATATAAATCAGCAAATAATGATATTTTTGGATAAGAACACTTACAGTTTATATCTCTATCCAATTATATTTCTATATTACTATCACCTTAACAAAAATAGACCAGAGCTTTTGGCACCTATTAATCTTGGCTCAGATAATCCTGTGTCTTCTGATGTAAGCATAAATTAATTCCACCAATACTTCAAAAGCTGTGAGAGTCTGGCAGGGTAGAGTCAGAGTTTGCCTGCTCACAGCAAAAATGTATGGTTAATAAATGAATGCAAGAATTCATTAAATACTCAACAATATCTTTACCTATTCTTGACTTTATTTGGCATTTAATTCTAGTTGTTACTATAAAAAGTATAAATTTTTATGATCGCCAAGGTAAAAAAAAAGGAGTTATAGAATGACTTGTCTAACTCAGTCTGGGGCTGAGGGTGGGAAGCCTGATTATATGGTAGCCTCGCAAGAACAACAGAAAAATAAAGCAGAAACACTACAATGTTTCATCCAACATGTGATTTTGCTTCAGAAAAACTGAAAGCACTTGCAGCCCCCCACATCCATGTGCAAGAGGGAGGGAAAAGATACAGGATGCTATTAAGTCTTATCTAAGGGAAAACAAGGACAAAAAGGACTGAGTCCAACCCCCTGGCAGACCTCAGGGAAGATATTACTTGATAAGTTTGATCCACTTAGAGTTTTATCTTCTCCTCACTTTAAAATATTTCTAATCAATGAATGTTCTTTGAATCTTGGGGGCACACTATCCCCACTTACGATGCAGATTCTTAACCAGCTCGGTAGTGAGTAAAGCACAGCATTCTATACTGCTCTTGGTGAATATGGGGGGAGGGAGACCCTTCAAAATCTGTGGACATCAGGGATGCGAAGCCTACTATGTGATGGAACTTTGTTCACGGCTATGTCTGGAGAAGAAATGGAAGTTACCATGGAACAGGGTGCTGGGGAGAAGTAGAGATGGCATGCAAATTCCATAAAGAAAATATCGGAAATGCAATCTCCTTAATGGAAAGGTGAAGCCCACAATCTTTGAGAACTCATAACCTTTGATGTGCTTTAGGGTGGGATAATAAATGCAAAGATTTATTAGGATTTTGAAGCAGTACCATCTGAAGATAATGACCTAAAATAACATGTTAAAACCACTGTTGTATGTATTAAAATGTACATGAATGTTTGTGTTTGTGTGTTTGTGTGTCTATGTGTGCATACTGTTGTATCGTTCAATTATCAACACTGGCTTTATCTGGTATTTCTGTGATCACAAGGATGTGAGTAACACACTTTTTAATATACAGTTGAAATCTCACTAATTAGTGCTATGAGTAGGTTCAATATTTCTAAGTATTTCCGTAAATTATTGGACTATGTATGATTCCTTTACAGGAAATTGCAAGAGAAATATTAGATCTTGCTAAGAAATGATAATATAAAAACATGGTATCTAATTTAATTTTTATCCCATCAACATAATGAATTGCACACAAAACCGGGAGTAAAGATTTAAGATGTATCTATTTTTTTCTATTTATCTCTCTGGGACTCTCAATGGCCTCCTTACTTGGATCGTCAACCTGTGGAATGCATCCAAATGTTAATCTCATGCACATACTTGAAGGATAACAGAGAAAAAACTGGTGTTATTTGGGCCATCTAAAATCTTCCTCTATTTTTTATGACTTTCCATACAAAATTACCTAGCTATTCACCAGATCACACATTATCCACCATCTATTTAACTGGGCAACACTCACAGACTGTTTTGTGTGGTGTTGTCAAAGGGTAAGAATTAGCTTCACACCAGCCCACTGGGAAGATATCCATGGATTCCACATCAACAATGACCTCTGGCACTGGAGTCTGCAGACCTGCAGGGCAAGAAACAAAGACAATAAGTACCAACAAAGAAACAGAGGAAAATCGGAGAGCATCCCTAGGACTGAGAAACATGGTCCTTCAAATGTTAAAAAAAAAAAAAAAAATCAATAGCATTTCAGACATGACTTTACGGAGTCTATAGTCTTGAGATAGATACAAATGTTCGAATTATACAACAGAACAGATAAGGGGGTTCCAAAAAAGTGAGGGTTTGGAAAAGAGAGACACGTCCCTCTGAAGATCGGGAAGGAGAAGGACTTGGGAGAGACTGGATCTGAGCCAAGTGCTCTGGAAGGAATAGTGCCTCCTTCTCTAAGGGCAGCTATGAAATTGAGAAAATGAGGGACTTTGGGGTGGGGGCCACAGGACACACATGTAAGACACCATGCCATGTTTCCCCCAAGTCCAAGCAAAGATCACCTCAATAGTCCAACATGACAGCTCAAAGCGGCTGCTGACTGATTCCAGTGATTAGGAGCCCAGCCTGGTGAGGAGGCAGTGCCTCCAGGGAACTTGTTAACTTCCCAGCTTGACCTGAGATGCTGATTCTGAACTCTGTTTGTGGTCTGCAGAGTCTGGCCAAGTCACACTAAAGCTGTTTATGCAGGAATGTCTTTTTAGGGGGATCTGCCCAACCACTACATCCTGTCTCATAAACCCAATCATGCCTTGTGATAAACTGGCATCACAGCCAGGAAAATAAAAAGACCAGAAATCCGTATACAACAGCAGTGTACGTTTCAAGGAGGGCTGGCTACACAACAAGTTTGGAACCCAGCCCACTCGTTATAAGAAGAAAATTCTATCCTGGATCAATAGTTCTTAAGGAAAAACATGGCTAGGGAGAAACTCCTGAACCAAGAATCAAAAGGTAAGAGCTGTTTATAGAGAGCGATTCCTGGGCTCTGACCTCTTAATCTAGTATGCTTTGGTTTCCTCACTGAGAACCAAGGTGAAAACACCACAGTGAACCCTGCTAGGCTCCGTGTCACCACACGTCACCTGATAAATGTGGAATCACCCCATCCCTCCCCCCATGAAATTATCATTTCAGGAAACTAACTATTACAAGATGGTCCTAACAGCACTGTTAGCACCACGACTCCTGTCTCCTAACTCCTCACCCTAAAGCAGACACCCTGAAAACCAAGTATGTTATTTGGTAAGGACAAGCTGCTAATTTAGTGTGAAATCAATGTACTGTTGAATATCTAGGACCCCAAGACATACATGTTATCATACGTTATTCTGATTTTGACTGGTTCTCCAAGAAACCAACCAACTTTCTATATGCTTAATTCTATAATTTCAAGGATATATAAGTTAAAGGAATGGAAAAAAGGTTCATAGGGCTTATTTCTTAATGAAGTGAACAGAAATCATTTCTGACTAATATCATAAGATTTGGTCAGTGTTGAACCTAATTGCTAAAGGAATCATCAAGTCAATATCAAACAGTAGGTTCAAATAGACCAAAGGTGAAGATGCTCCCTGCAGCTTCCAATGTGGCTGTGACTGCCCCGTTCTGCAGGGCTCCCCAGTCTCCAGAGGACCAGCACAAGGGCCCAGCACCAGGTTGCTTCTTTCTTAGCTATGTGATCATTTTGCCAACAGGTTAAATTCATTCACCAAAAATGTTTGTATTTTCAGATTTGTGTTTAGTTACAAATAAGATTTTCAATGACATTCGAAGCAGCACTTCAAAAGGAAGCATATGGTGAACTTCAATTTCAAGTTCCTCCTAAACTGTCTTTCATCTCTAATGTTCTTCTGGTACAAACATCACATCATATTAATGCTTTAGTACATACTTACATATGACGAATGCATTAACAAGGCCACTCACTACAGCTGTTTTACCATCTTTACAATTGTCTGATCATGCTTCCCATTCAATTGAGCTTAGAGAGGCCAGCCACCCTTTTCTCAAGAGACTTAATAGCCCTGCTTCCTTCCAACCCAATCTAGCCTATGAAGGCATCTGTTAGTGAGAGTGGATAGAAACATGGGTGATTTAACAACCAGGAAAGTTTTCCCAACCCCCAAACTTTTCAAATCCCATTCTTATTTCCTTGAATCAATCTTATAAACCTAGATAACTCTGACCAGATTCAGAATAATCTTTAAAAAAAATCATTATTTTCCAAGTTGGGGACCCAATAGCTTACAAAATCATCCATTAAAATGAGCACAAAGCTCCTCCTTGCTCATTCCAGGATACATGCAAAGCACCTAGGCAAAACTGGATGTGTCACTAAAGATCAATTCATTTTTATCATTTTATAGAAAAAAAAATCCCTTACGAATAACTCAAGATCATACTCAATCTTTGTCTAAGCTGTACCCTATCAGTACAGATTCCATATGTCCAATCTTATCCACAACATTCATCTCAAAATTAATTAGGAAACTGAAAATATTCTTCTATGGGAAATAAAAAAAGTAGGGTCTTCTATGTATAAAAAAAGTAGGGTCTGTCCAAATGATGGAATGTTCCCCAGATATAGAAAAGAATGAGAAACCTGTGTATAGGCTTACATGTAAACATCTCCAAGATGAATTATGAAGTAAGAAAAAGTATGCAAGCAGAGTGTGCGCTTACCTATTTAGTAAGGGGGAAATAACATATATTCATATGTGCATAAAACAAACCTGGAGGAAAATGCAAAATACTAACAATAGGAAAGGAACCATGTTGCCAGGGAATAGCGAATCACAAAGCAGGATGGAGAATATGACCAAAGATACTTTTGCTGTTTGTGTGCCTTTGTCACTTATCTATTTTACAGACACAACCTCACAACCTCCAAAATGACAACATCACAACAAAAGATATCCAGAGAAGAGAGGAAGAACCCTGCACATAAATGTGGTATTGCCACTGAGATCAGACTAATAAGATAAAGTTACCATTAAAGAAAATAAAACTAAATAACAACAAATCATTGCACTGCTACAAGATACTCTACACTCACAAAATAAATTGACAAGAATATGACTTTTGTGAGAATCACAGCGGAACTTTAAAATAATCCTGCTTTTTCCCATCTTCAGAGGATTTTGTTCTCAATTCAGCAAATGACAAAGTTTTCCTCGTCCTTGCTGTTGGAGAGGCTTTGTATGACAGCTCAACCCAACCAAAGACACAGAGCAGTGCCTTCAGGTCAGTGACCTATTCTAGACAGAAGGTTAGGATGAAAAGTGGAGATGACCTGGAAGGACACTTCAGTGTGTTCCCAGGAACACAATCCTAGCCGACTCCATGCAGTTATATAATCACCTCACTTTCAGCAAAATCAGAGGAGAGGGCAAGCGGGGGTGGGCTCGAGAGTGGAGATGCTACCAGGTGCCATGGGCAAGAGAAATCGGAGGGTAGAGTGGCCCAGAGTCAACCTCGAGGAAGGAAAATGATCTTCATTTACTTTGGTAATGGAATTGGAACAACCTCTTCATCTCATTTAAAAGCCCGGATGGAAAGGAAGGTGAGAGTATTTAAGGGAAGGAGCCAACTTGTAAACTTCCCACTGCAACTCACAGGGTACGCCAAATGCCCGCAGGCTCGGGAGTGAACGGGAGAAGCCTGAGAAGAATGAAAAGTGGGTCTGACTGTCCCAGAGAAAGCAAGGACTGGGTGCTGGACACCCTGCATGCCGCTGCCAGGCTTTTTTCCTGTACAGACGCCAAGCTACCAATCAGCTTTCAGAGCAACCCCTTGTCAACCGTGGAGCCCAACTCCTAAGGAAGAAGACACGGGCAAAAGTAACTGGCAAGATCAAGGTATCAGAGGAAAGATGGTCTGAGAGCAAACAAGAGAAGGGAATAAAAGGTCTCTATGTGGGGTGTGTGCATGTGTGTGCATGTGGGTGGAGAGAGCCAAAGACACTCCCACAACAGCAAACACTTAGAGCAGTTACTGCATGCCAGACATATTTCTCCATAGGTTTGAGCCTCACAACAATGCTTTTAAAAAAAATAGGGTCTGTTTTCATCTCCATTTTATAGATAAGCAAACTTGAACTACAGGAAAAGATGATCCAGTTGGTCAGTGGAAGATGCAGGATTTGAATCTGGACAATCTACCTGAGAGCCTTAGAAGGCATGAGGTGAGTAGTTCTAGTTTCTTACCCCTGGGTGGGGCTCTCCAGCATCTGTTTCCTTCCTAGGAGATCCCCATGTCTCATGTGCAGAATTCCCATATCAAGCAGAAGAAAGAGTCAGATAACCCTGTCTCTGCAGGAAGGTGCCCAGGTTCAGATTCTCTCTCCAGGGCTCTGGCATCTTGAGAACATGGTCACCTAAAAGTCACATTCATCACAATGGCAGCTAGGAACCTCAAACTTTGTTTTGGTTCCTCTGTCAAACCTCTGGAGAGGTGAGGCCCCCAGCCTGTCATCCACAGCCTTACAAATAACTCATGTCCTGTGAAGACAGCCGGAGCCGGCTCTGGTCCTGGCCACAACAAAACAAGTGTGGTCCTATTAACCATCTCTTCCCACAGGCAGCTCCTGCTCTGGGGTCACATTTTTCATCTGTCCACGTAATACTGCACCCACAGCCTAATCTGAGGAAGCAGTTTCTCCCACAAATGTTTCCCGGAGGCCATACCTCTTTTGAAAGATGTTAAAACCACCCACGCTGGCTTGAAATATAATTATTTTCCCTTGTCTCATTTTTGCAAATGTATGCAAAATGCTTATTAACTACCTAACTTCTTCACAAATTATGGAAAGGCTTAATAACAGGCTGTTGATTTTCCCTAGTCTCCTAAACAAAAAAAATTGGGTCAAATAGGTATTTCTCAGGTGAAACACCTTGCCTGTTTGACCTATTCGTGTTGTTTAGAAACTCTACTGTGTGTAAAATTCACGGGGGAGGGTGGCTTGGAGGTGCTGATTCCTAGCCCTTGCTCCCAGGGACGTGGATGCCCCCTCAGGAATATGTATTTTAGCAGGACCCCAGTGGATTCTGATGTAGAGGGTCTTTCATTGAA